TTGACTATCTCGTCTGCGGGTTTAAACGAGGTGGACTTGGGTCGCTTGTCGAGTATCACGTCGTCCCTGTCCATGGTGGCACGCAGTGTTGTTAATTCTTCGGCTGCTAGGGCTTCGGATAATGCTTCCAAGGCTAGTGCTGCGGTTTTGTTTTCGGCGCGGAGTGCGACGTCCGGATCACTGGCTAGAGTGATGATTCCATTGGGTCCGGGCATTTTTAAGCTTCATGTACCCATAATGAGGTATAGCTTGAAAGCTCGCAAATGTGTCCCGCCCTAGAAGGGCGTGGTATCCGCTGCTGAAAGGAGCCACTTGAAATGTGATTTCTTCGGACCTGTAATTCTCCAGGGTGCCGAATACCACATCGAGTGTGATTTTTCCCGCAAACCGTGCTTCCCTACTGGGGATAATTCCTCTGAAGGTTGTGCCGCTTTGTTCAATGCGGCTTTTATCAATTTCCATCTTTTTGAGTGTTTCTTCGTAGATCAAGTTTAATTCGCTTCCGCCGTCCATGAGTACTTTAGTGAGCCAAAAGCCGTCCACTATTGGGCTAAGGACCAGAGCGACTGGCGCCCGGACGGTCTAGAATAGAGGTTCATCACTGGCATTGAAAGTTATTGCAGTGTCGTTCCACGGATTTATTTTTGCCACATGGTAGATTCCAGTGGGGCTTTGATGAGCTCGCTTGCGCCTATTGTTTGAGGCGAAAGTCTCGAAGACTGTTAGTACCGTATTGTGTTCTTTGGCGGGAGGTTGTTCCGCTTTATGGCTTACAAGTAGATCCTCGCCACTTTTTGCTACCTGCCGGAGTACCCAACATGCCCTGAGGCTATGGGTTGGTGTTGTGTCCGGCGTACTGTGGAGCTTACATGGCCCATTGAGCCATTCTTCCAATACGGTTCCACGCCCTAGGGTGGGCTTCGACTTCTTGGGGATTGGATCGGCCGACTTATGAGAGTTCGCCCGTTTAGCTCGAACAAAGGTTTTGGTAAGGGCCGGGCTATCCCAAAATTCTGTTTGGGTTTTCCAGGCGCTTTCCATCGCACAGTATTTCTGTACTATGGCTGCCAAGTTAGCAAGGTGTACTATGTCACGGCGACTTATAGCATTAAGGATTCCTTTGTCCGTACAATTTTTGCAGAAAAGTGAGACTGCGTCCTCCTCACAACAGTCCTTGACCTTATTCAGCACAAGGAGGAATCTGGCCCAGTAGCGATGTACTGTCTCATGGGGCTCTTGTCGGATATGGGAGAGACGGCTTAAGCACGGGTGGGTGTTCATGGCTAAATCTGGATTCTGATCCGGCCTAGCGCCTAGGGGCAGGGGAGCCTCCGAGTTCGACAGCTCGAGATCCGGGATGCTGCCCAATTTTTCCGGCCGAATACCCGATCCTAAGTCCAGGATCTGGGCCATGTCTTCCTTTGAGCGGGAGTTCGGCTCAGGGAGCTCAATGATTCGGACATGATTCGTCCGCAGAATAGATGGTAATCCGTATGTGGTTCCTCCACTACCGCTATCTCATGGGTGGCCGGCGGGGATTTAATGTCCCTTTGGTCGGGTTTAAGCCCGATCCGGTCATAGTCCGTAGCGACTCCCAAAGCGGCGATGCGATCCAAGAGCTCATTAAGGGAGGATAGCTCTATCGGATCCATCTGTTCGGCGAGTCCGAATTGATGCGAAGGTTATGCATGATGACCCGAGAGGCCATCATTGGCGCGACAGCCAATGGGGCGGCCATAATGAAGCCGCCAAGTCAGAGAATTTGGCCTACAGCTAGTGCTCCCCTGGAGGTAATGTTGTCCTTGACAATGAGACGAGCCATCCAGCCTTGCAGCGACGACACAGAGGAACTCTCAATGAAAGCACCAATGTCGGTGCCAAAACCGGCGGATCTCGGGTAAGGGGTCCCGATCTGTGCGTCTTAGGCTGATGGTAACAGGAAGCAAGGGACACAATGTTTACCCAGGTTCGGGCCCTCTCGATGGAGGTAAAACCCTACTTCCTGCTTGATTAATATTGAAGATATGAGTAGTACAAGAGTAGATCTACCACGAGATCGTAGAGGCTAAACCCTAGAAGCTAGCCTATGATGATTATGATTGTAATTGTGATCGGCCTTCTAAGGACAACCCTCTTCGGTTTATATAGACACCGAAGAGGGCTAGGGTTTACATGGAGTCGGTTACAAGGAAGGAAACATAATATCCGCATCGCTAAGCTTGTCTTCCACGCAAAGGAGAGTCCATCCGGACACGGGACGGAGTCTTGAGTCTTGCATCTTCACGCTCCAATAGTCCGGACGATGTATATAGTCCGGTCGTCCAGATGCCCCCTAATCCAGGACTCCCTCAGTGGTGCGCCCCCCGCACCCTTTCCCACGTTATTTGGGGAGGTGGGGCGCCTCCACCTGGCTTGGGAGGCAATCCTCCACCTGTTTGGCTTGGGGGGCAAGTCTCCTTAGGATTTTGCCTAGGGAGATCCAATCTGCTTGGCCGCCGCCCCCTAGGGGAAACCCTAGGGCGCCTCCCCATCTCCCCTTGCCCCTATATATAGTGGAGGGGTGGGAGGGCAGCCGCACCTCTTCCCTGGCGCAGCCCTCTCCCTCCTCCAACACCTCCTCCTCCTCCGTAGTGCTTGGCAAAGCCCTGCTGGAGAACCACGAGCTCCACCACCACCACGCCGTCGTGCTGTCAGAGTTCTCCCTCAACTTCTCCTCTCCCCTTGCTGGATCAAGAAGGAGGAGACGTCCCCGGGTTGTACGTGTGTTGAGCGCAGAGGCACCGTTGTTCGGTGCTTAGATCGGATTCGACCGCGATCTGAATTGCTTCGTGTACGACTCCACCGACCGCGTTCTTGTAACGCTTCCGCATCGCGATCTTCAAGGGTATGAAGATACACTCATCCTCTCCCTCTCTTGTTGCTAGAATCTCCATAGATTGATCTTGGTGATGCGTAGAAAATTTTGAATTTCTGCTACGTTCCCCAACAGTTGGACTATGAAGATACAAGATTGGGGACTTCGTCCCGTGTCCAGATGGGACTCTCCTTTGCGTGGAAGGCAAGCTTGGATATTCGGATATGTAGATTTCCTTCTCTGTAACCGACTCTGTGTAACCCTAGCCCCCTCCGGTGTCTATATAAACCGGAGGGTTTAGTCCGTAGGATAAGAACAATCAGGATCATAGGCTAGCTTCTAGGGTTTAGCCTCTACGATCTCATGGTAGATCAACTCTTGTAATACTCATATCATCAAGATCAATCGAGCAGGAAGTAGGGTATTACCTCCATCGAGAGGGCCCGAACCTGGGCAAAACATCGTGTCCCCTGCCTCCTGTTATCATTAGCCTTAGACGCACAGTACGGGACCCCCTACCCGTGATCTGCCGGTTTTGACACCGACAAGGGGGACATTGTCAAATGGGCACTGGGAGTGAAATCTTGCTTTACTACTAAGTCCATTTATCATTTGTCGGGGAAAAAAACATCTCTGACTGTGACAACAGATGGATTTGGAATGCAAAACCACCTTTGAAAATCCAAATCTTTTTGTGGCAACTGTTCCAAGATGCTATCCTTCCTAGGGACGTAATGAAACGTTGGAACTGGAAAGGTAACCCTAAGTGTTCGTTTTGCGGAGAGCGTGAAACTTCACAACACCTCTTCTTCATGTGCCCAGTTGCCAAGATAATATAGAGAACTGTGGCTGATATGTTTGGCACCGATCTGTGCCTAGATAATGTTTGGCAAGCCAATGCCTGGTGCTTTACTTTTTTTTTCTTGATGGTGAAGTTTTCTACACTATTGGCTTAGTTCCAACTTGGGCTATTTGAAACTGTCGCAATAGGGCGATGTTTGAATCCAAAATTCTCAAGACCCCTTTTGAGATTGTGTTCTCTGCTTGTGCATATTTGTCGTATTGGGCGGGTTTGATGAAGCCAGGTAATGCGACTGACCTGAGGACGGGTCAAGATACTGAAGGACCACGCGTCGAAGATGATGCGCATTTGCGCTGCTGTTCGAGATGGATGGGAGCCCTGATGATCTTTGTCCGACCGCTGCTGATCGTTCTCCCACTTCCTTAGTTGCTTGTTTATGTTTTTAAATCCTCTCTGTAATACTTTGGTCCTTTTCACCCCCTGTGTGGGTGTTCATCCTGGTGCTCTTGCGTGAGCGCGTTTGTCTTGAATTTGGCCGGTCGGCCATAACTATTTGGCGGTGTCATCGGGTTTCGTCCAACGATGCTTGAACTCACTTTCTTCTTCTCTGTCTCCTTTTCTGAACTGGTGTATTTCCGTTATGTCAAAGTAATCGAAAGAAGTTATGCCCGATTCCAAAAGAAAACTCTAGAGAATCAAAAGCGGAAGAGAACTGGGCTCATAGGTCATAGAGAGGCGGCGGAGTGTCGATACCGGAACGCTTTCAGGTTCCGGGCATCCCAAATCTTCCAGAGAAGCAGGAGGATGGATCGCTGGGACGGTCATCTATGGATTTAAGTATGTTGACACAGCCGCTCGTGAGATAAATTATCAAGCTGTGGATCTTCATAAGATGGACCAAACTGACGCGGGCAGCCGTTCCGCAGCGTAGGAACGTGCTTCAGATTCAGATCTGGACCGGATGGACGCATCCCCCTCTGCCAAAGCGCCACACAAACAGAGGAGAAATCTGTGCGTGTCCCATTGCCGGCAGGTAGGTGTCCGGATTGAAAGGTTCGTCATAGAACCAGGTAGGCAGGTACCCGAGAAATGCTACACTTACAGATGGATTCTTACTGATTGAAGTTACGGACTGAGGTGCGAAACCTTGATTGGAAATAAGGAGGAGGTGGGACCCACACTAGTGGAGGCCGCTTGCTCAGTTCAGAGTTCGGGCAAATAGCAGCGGCAGATTGGTCAACTCGGATGATCAATGTGACCATATATTACTCCATTCCTTCAATTCAATAATAATCACGAAAACATACACTATCGACGGATCGCAGAGCAGGGGTCCTAAAAATCCTACAGCTCAATGGCGATCTTGTGAACCCTTTCCTTGGGCAATGGCATGGACTCGAGCTCGAGGATCACCATGCCGGAGGAGGCGTCGTAAGAGAACTCCGCCGGGGCTGAGCCCAGCGTGCAACTCCTCGGCCGAACCGACGAGTAGGCGCCCAACCTCCCGCGCCCTCGCACTTCCATGCTCACCAGCCCGACCGCCTCGTCGCCGTCGGCAAGGAGGCTGTAGGTCAGGCCTTCCACCGCCGCGCCGCCGTTGAACATGTCCACGAGGCCCACCGGCGCGAACCTCAACCCGGCCGCCAAATCCTGCAGTTCACGAAGATCATTTGATCAGTTCAGGTACAGAAGCGAATTGTACCGCCCACAAATATCGATCAGATTGGACCAGGTGGTGCTGACCTTGATCGGCGACACGGTGAGGACGTCGTGCTCAAGGACCTTGAGGGACACGGGCAGCCCCGCGCCGTCGGGGAGCACCACGAGGTCGCCGGCGCCGTGGCGGTACACGGCGCAGTCGCCGCCCCACCCGTCGCCGCCGTCCGTCGCCGCCTCGGCGATGAGGTGGACGTCGCGGCTCCTGACGCCGCAGGTCAGCGCGCCGGCGCCGGCCTCCTGGTGGAAGACGTTCTTCTTCTCCGCGGAGCTCCACGCCGCGCCCTGGCAGTTGTACACGCCGAGCACGCCCGTGAACCTGTTCATGTTCCAGATCTTGAGCAGGGTGGCGCCGTCGCGCGCCGGGTCCGCGAACAGGCAGTCCTTGGTCGGCCGGCCCGGCAGCCGCGCGCGCAGCACGGTGCCGTCCGGCAGCACCATCTTCCTCAGCAGCTCGAAGTCGTGCTTCCCCGGCGCGTCGCTGACGTACACGGGCCCGCCGCTGATGGCGCGCGCCGAGCCGTGGTAGTCGCCGGCGGGGTGCAGGGAGTGGAACATGTCCCAGTCCGGGAGCATGAACTCGCCGAGGAACACGCTGTTGTAGGCCACCGCCGCGATGTGGATCGTGTGCGACACCGCCTCCCTCGGGAAGAAATCGTCTGACGCTCTCACCACCGCCGTCTGCTTCGAGCTGCACGTAGATTCAGCAGAGATGACGATGAAATTTCTCTGAGAAGATTTGGATGTCGTCAATGGAGGGATTGAGTTCTGTCTTACCAGTAGAGGGCGTCGGTGTTGTGGCTCATGCAGGCGATGATGCCGTTGTCCGGGAAGTTCTTGGCGACGGAGGCGTCGAGCGCGCGGTGGTACTCCTTGGTGAGCTGCACGCGGCCGCCGTGGCCGGCGCCGAGCGTCTCGAGGACGCACTGCACGTCCACCTTGACGCCGTCGACGCCGGCGGCGGCGAGGTACGCGTGGAGCTCGTCGTAGAAGCGGTGCACGGCCTGCGGGTGCACGAGGCCGAGCCCCTGCAGGGTGAGCACGTCGGTCTTCATGTTGGGCTCGTTCTCCGCCACGCCCGGCGAGATCTTGGGGAACTGCATGGTGGAGCGGTAGGCCTCCATCCCGGCGACGCCCGGCCGCACGCCGCCCCAGTAGCCGGTGATGGCGTGCCAGACGTACACGTACTTGAGCCCGTACTTCTCCTTCGCCGCGCGCACCAGCGTCTCGATGCCCGTGGCGGTGGCCGGGTCGTCGCCGCTCTGGAACTTGCTGTTCTCCTTGATGCCGGTGAGCCGGGGAAGGGGCGGCGACTTGCCGGCCTCGCCCACAGAGTCCACGTCGGGGCTCTGTTTGTCGGTGCCGACCGACTGCCAGCCGTCGTCGATGATGACGAACTTGGGCGGCGCTCCGCCGGCGGCGAGGCTCTGGAGCCCGGCCTCGACGCCCTCCTGGGTGACGTCCTGGTAGAAGGCGTCCCACGTGCACCACCCGAAGTAGTCAACGATCGCGGGGAGCTTCTTCTCGGCGCGCGGGCGGAAGGTCCCGAGGCAGGACCTGACGGCCGCGACGGCGCCGGCGATGGCGGCGAAAGGGTCGGAGTCCGCGGCGCCCACGAAGAGCGCGCGGTCGAAGGAACTGGCGAGCGTGCCGGCGTCGCCGCTCTCGACGCAGAGCTGGAGCTCGTCGCCGCCCGCGCCGCCGCCCTGGAGGCTGGCCCGGAACGCGCCCTCCACGAGCGGGAGGAACACGACGTACGACGTCTCTTCCTCCTCCCAGCCGGTGCCGGGGGCCCTCGACTCGACCAGCAGGAACTGCGTCTCGTGCGGGACGTCGCCGCCCTTGTCGCCCATCCTCTGCGCCATCCACCACATCTTGAACCGGAAGCACGCCATGAACCGCACGCCCCTGCGGCACACACCAACCGAAAACCGAATCAGATCAATGCCGATCGAGACTTTACCGAACAGGCACACAGAACCGCGTCGCGTCCTCCGAGATCGCGTCAGGCGGGCGGGGGAGCGGACGCACCTCATGGCGCCGAGGGAGACGACGTGGCGGGAGGCCGGGCCGGCGAGGTCGGCGCCGAGGAAGACGCCGTCGACGGGGCCCCGGGCCGCCGCGGGCGACGCCGACACCGCGTCCGGCACGCCGGACAGCACCGTCCGCCCGCCGACCGACAGCTCCCCGCCGGCGAGCCTCACGGACGACTCGATCGTCATCTCTTCTTTCTCCTCCCTCGCGCTCCGCCGGCCGGACAACGACGCCCCCTTGACCGCCGCAAGAGTCTTAATCGAACACCTACAGCACAGACCAACAAGGTTGGTTAACAAGGCGAACGCAACACCGACGACCGGGAAAACAAGAAAAAGAACAAGAACAAGAACAAGAAAGGGAGGACCGAAGAATGCACGCACCGACGAGGACTGGATTGGGGATCGGGGAGGAGGCGGAGGGGCGGAGAGGCGAGGAGCGGTGGGCGGGAAGAGGAAGAGGGCGCGCGGGTATATATACGCGCGCGAGGAGAGGGGGATGAGGAGGATGCGGCGGCCCCGGTGCTGGAGATGAGTGCTGTGCGCGCCATCACGGGTGGGAGCCGGGGGGCATTGGCGGCTGGCTGGCTGGCTGTTAAATCTGTTGCGGTCCGCCGGATCGGATGGGGACGAGATGGGATGGGATTGGGTGTGGAAGACGGGGAAGTGGGCTGCTGACAGTGTGCGTCGTTGGTTGTTTGGTGGCGCGCTTTGTCGCTGGTGCTAATCCGTCCAGCTTTTTTCTGCTTGGTTGGCATGGCGTGTACGGGCCCGACTCCCCTCCTCGCCACACGAGGAAGGAACCACGAGGGCATGACTCGTTCGGTTCACAGAAGTTTCAAATTAGAGAACTATGGTGTTCAAAGAAATAGAGAACTAGGAAAAGCAATATGTGCTATTTTACAAAAACTAATATCTCTATTACTGTGAGACGAATGCTACCCATTGGGAAAAAAACATGAGTGAAAATCACGTAGAAATCCTCCCAAAGAAACGAATGAGACCTCGTAGCGATAGGATGGGTGGCGGGTGATCCTGCTATCGTCGTGACTTCGATGGTGGCGGCTCTCTCGTCTGGGTCTGGAGGCCTCGAGATGGCGGCGGTGGCCCTCCGCTCGGGGTTGGGTCGGCAACCTGGGTACCACGGGTGACGCGTGTGAGGTGTCGGGCAAAAGCTCTCCGTCGGCAATGGCGATGCCTATAGGTGTTGCTTTCCTCTTTGGGGGCGTCGTTGTGGGTCCCCTCACGGTGCCCAAGGCTCCAGGTGAAAACCGCAGTTCGTCTTTTCGGACTTGACAGCGGCGGAGCGTCGCGTTGTCACC